AGAAAGTTGGTAAATATATGGATAGTGAGACCACTCTGATGAGATCTCAGATGGAAATGAGGAACATGTTACTGGACAATGGAGAAGAGGCTATCTTTTTAAAATTTTATTTCAATGGTTTTGGGAGAACAGGTGTTCTTTTGTAACATGGATAAGTTATTTAATGGTGATTTCTGAGATTTTAGTTAACCCATCACCCAAGCAGTGTACACTGTACCCGAGATGTAGTCTTTTATCCCTTACCCCCCCCCCACCCATCCCTCCAAGTCCCCAAAGTCCATTCTATCATTCTTATGCCTTTGTATCCTCATAGCTTAGCTCCCACTTATAAGGCAGAACATACGATACTTGGTTTTCCATTTCTGAATTACTTCACTGAGAATAATGGCCTCCAGCTCCATCCAAGTTGCTGCAAAGGCCATTATTTCATTCCATTTTATGGCTAAGTAGTATTCCATAGTGTATATGTACCACATTTTCTTTATTCACTTGTTGGTTGATGGGCATTTAGGTTGGTTCCATATTTTTGCAATTGTTAATTGTGCTGCTATAAATATGTGAGTACATGCATCTTTTTTCATATAATGACTTCTTTTCCTTTGGGTAGATACCCAGTATTGGGATTACTGGATTGAATGGTAGTTTTACTTTTAGTTCTTTAAGGATTTTCCATACCGTTTTCCATCGTGGTTGTGCTAGCTTACATTCCCATCAGCCATGTAGGAGTGTTCCCTTTTTACCACATCCGCACCAACACATTTTTAGAAATTATTTTTAAATTCTGGCCATTCTTGCAGGAGTAAGGTGGTGTTTCATTGTGGTTTAATTTGCATTTCCCTGATAACTAGTGATGTTGAGCATTTTTTCATGTTTGTTGGTCATTTGTATATATCTTCTTTTGAGAATTGTCTATTCATGTCCTTTGCCCACTTTTTGATGGGATTATTTGTTTTTTTCTTGCTGATTTGTTTGTGTTCCTTGCAGATTCTGGATATCAGTCTTTTGTCAGATGCATAGTTTACAAATATTTTCTTCTACTCTTGTGGTTGTTTGTTTATTCTGCTGATTATTTCTTTTGCTGGCAGAAGCTTCTTAGTTTCATTAGGTCCCATTTGTTTATTTTTGTTTTTGCTGCATTTGCTTGTGGGTTCCTAGTCATGAATTCTTTGCCTAAGCCAATGTCTAGAAGAGTTTTTCCAATGTTATCTTCTAGGATTTTTATGATTTCAGATCTTAGATTTAAGTCTTTGGTCCATCTTGAGTTGATTTTTGAATAAGGTAACATTCTTCTACATGTGGCTTGCCAGTTATTCCAGCACCATTTATTGAATAGGGTGTCCTTTTCCCACTTTATGTTTTTGTGTGCTTTGTTGAAGATCAGTGGGCTATAAGTATTTGGTTTTATTTCTGGGTTCTCTATTCCATTCTGTTAGTCTACATGCCTACCTTTTTTTTTTTTTTTTTTTGAGACGAGGTCTGGCTCTGTCCCCAGGCTGGAGTGCAGTGGCCGGATCTCGCCTCACTGCAAGCCTCCGCCTCCCGGGTTCACGCCATTCTCCCTGCCTCAGCCTCCCGAGTACCTGGGACTACAGGCGCCCACCACCCTCGCCTGGCTAGTTTTTTGTATTTTTTTAGTAGCA